GGGGGGGGAGACTGTTCGTGGGCTGTAATCCTGCAGATGGAGAGGGAGGAGTGGGTTTAAGAAGCAGGGGTAGTAACAGCATGAACTAGGTGAAGCTTTATCTTCTCCCTAGCGCATGGAACAGCCCCTCAGCTGTAACGGGTGGTCAGCTACTTCCTGAAGTTGAGGGGTGCGACAAATGTCTCCCTTCCCCAGCCCCTTCTGGTGTCCAGGTCTGATCCCTGACTCCTCACCAGGGTCACCTGGATGTTCAGGTGGCCTGCAACTGCTTCCTTGTTGGTTTAAACTGTAAAACTTCAGTTGCTGTCTCAGGCAGTGATTAGAACCTTTCCTCTAAACCGCTCCTGGATGACGCAACAGTGGAGTTGAACAGGCCATTGATGCGATTTGCTGATCCCGTGCTGGTTGGCTTGTGTCTCTGTAATCTTTGGTCCCTGGCTGAGACACGAACTGACACCCTGCTCCCTCCACACCCACAAACATTGGACTTTGTGGCCTCAAAGCACTTTACAAACATCACCCCCCAAATGTTTGCTGCAGGTTGTTTTCCTGTTTTGCAGCTGGGATGCAGAGAGGGGGACTGACTTGCCCAGTGCTCCTGGGAAAGTTAGCCAGCCAGCATTCAAATGCTGAGTCTCTCAGTGTATCAGGTAGCTAAAGGGTTATAATTGTTGCTAAAGTTAAATAGTGCAGGGGCACTCAGTTTGGGAGGCGGCACCACAATAGAAATGGATTTTTATACTGCGTGTCCAAGTCTGTTTGCTTCTGATCTGGTGGCAGGCTGCCTTTCTGTAGCCCACTCTTGTCTCCCCAAATTATACTCGTCTTTTCTTCCTCACTTTATCGGACAAGAAATTAAATCTGTATTGCAGGCTATGCCTGTGTGGTATAGAGTATTTCTTTTTAGACAAGTGTGTTTCTCATAATTTAGTTGCTGCTTAGTTTTGATTTGTTAAACTGACTGACTCCCAAAAACTCTGAAGGAGAAGCAGGTCTCATCTAATCAGACTGATTTTTTCCAATCCTGATTAGGGAGTAGGAAATCTGATTTTTGCTTCTCAGGGGTTTGTGCAAACAACTAGAGTTCATGAGGTCTCATCACCTGAGTATCTGGTTCAAGTGAACCCTCAAATACCAAGAGAAACGTAGTCAATAGCGCCTTGTTTCATCGTGAAACTGGAGATGTTGCATTACTCAAGATGCAAAACAGTAAATTTCCACAATCATCAATCTTTTACTGGAATTGGTCTGAATTTCAAGTTGATGCAAAACCCAGAACTCGGTGAATTTTTACATTTGCTCCAAAATCTAACGCAGCTTTAGTCTTTCGTAGACCATCTCCTGCGTAAGAAGCAACACAGGACCCTGTGCCATAAAAGCACCTTGCTTTCTTGTCCTCTCTTCAGCATGGCTAACATTTCTATTCAGCTCCCTGCATGGGCCTTTGGATGAGGCGACCTGGCTGTTAGGAAGGACAATGGGACTTTGCAGGAAATCCTTGTGAACACATTTCTATTGTCCTTCCACAGAATCAGCTCATCAGGCCAGCAGGTAATGGTTTGATCCCATGACCTGCTCTCATTGTTCAGCCGGATCACTTGATTTCCTGCTGCTGTCCATTGCCTCCAAAGTGTGGTGGCCTGGCTTTCCAGAAGCACGTGTAATTGGTCTCACAAGAAACTGAGCAAGGAGCAGTCCCTCCTGTAGGTCAGTAGTCTTGCATTGGAAGGGCAGTGTACGGTGCTTTTTCTGGAATGTCTCAGGCAGCTTAGGGCTCCTTTGTGAAAGCTGGCATTGCGCACACAAGCTCGCTCATCCACCAGTTTTCTTGAAGGTAGTCACACTCGTGGCTGGAGCAGGGCGCCAGGGTCAGGATTTCTGGGCTTTGTTTCTAGCTCTACCATGGACTTGCAATGTCATCTAGGGCAAGTTCTGTCATCTCTCTCCGTGCTTCCATTTCTCTATCTGTAAAACACCGAGAACCACCTGCTTGTGGGGCGTGAAAGGCTCAAAGTTTATAAGTCACTTGCGCTGCTTAGCTGGGAGCTGCTAGAGAAGGGCAAAGTCTTGTGCAAAGCATTACGTGAAATTGCTGCCTGGGGCAGCTGTAACATGGAGCTATTAACTCACTGGTTTGAAGATGCCTATCTGAAAGAAGTGTGTGTAACTTCAGGGTAGTGCCCTGGCAAAACACCCAATGTTTGTGTTGGCAAATAGGCTGCCTGTTGCTTGGGTTGATGAGATTGTGCCACTCGGATGATACACATGCTATATCGTTGGAATGGGATGTTTCTCTGAGGCAGACAAAACGGCAACATTGGGTGCTCACTGCACATCAGTCGCAGGGGTGTGACGTTGTATGTTAAAAGGATCGGCATCAGTAGCAGGATTTCTCAGTTTGCATCTTGTTTTCACTTGATGGGGCGGATTGGTTTTTTTTGTCCCTTTAAGGGCAGGTCTACACTAATCCCCCAATTCGAACTAAGGTACGCAACTTCAGCTACATGAATAACGTAGCTGAAGTTCGAAGTACCTTAGTTCGAACTTGCCTCCATCCAGACGCGGCAGGCAGGCTCCCCCGTCGACTTCGCGTACGCCTCTCGTCGAGCTGGAGTACCGCAGTCGACGGCGAGCACTTCCAGGTTCGACTTATCGCGCCCAGACAAGACGCGATAAGTCGAAGCCAGAAGTTCGATTTGCTTGCCGCTGAACTACCGGGTAAGTGTAGACCTACCCTAAATGACTTAGGTCCACTGTAGCAACTCGCTGTACAGCCACTCCTTCCACGACAAAGCCCAGCTCCCAGGCCTGCTCCCTGCTTGCCCAGCTGGAGAATTCCACTGCACACGTACCCATTCCAGAGCACTGCCCTTGGTGTGACATGGGAGTGTGAGCGTTCAATCTAAATACTACAGCAAAGGCATGGATCGCACGCCCTGTGAGCATGCAGCAGTGTCGAACCTGCCTTCCCGTGCTATGAAGATGGAGAAAAGCCTCCTTGATTTGAAAGGCCAGTCGTTGCTGTAATGGAAACTAATCATGTTTGAGGGTTAACCCTGGGAACCAGGCAGTGCATAGGAGCATCTGAACTCAGACTGAGTGTAATCACTTTTCTAGGGGCTCTACGCTGGTTGGGACTAGGAGAGGTGTCTCAGGAGGTAAAAATGAATCTAATGTGCATGGTGGGCGATTTCTTGTGTCCAGACTGAACTCTGTGACTTATAAACCCAAGGACTGAAGTAGCAGCAGCAAGGCCAGATTGTGGCTTTCTGTGGCGCTCCCAATTCAGACTGCCAGCCCCAGGTCTTGCCTTGACCTCAGTCGTCCCATGAAACCAGAGGGAGTTGTTAAAAACCAGTTCTGTGAAAAGCTGGCTAGCTGGAGCAGTCTGAGGTATGCTCCGTCGGGCTTGTTTACTCAGGCATGTAACCCAGACCTGCCCAAGTGCAGGTAAGTATTTCTGAGGCAGGAAATGCCCGAGACCTTCGGCTCTTCTGGAATGTGGTTGTGAGAACCAGCCCTGTTTGTTTTTGTATTCAGCCCTGCTGCTGACAGACTCTGCTCTCCCTGGCTGTGCTGGGGGTACGACCTGCTGCCCTTTCCCACTAGCTAATTAGGGTCCTGGAGAATTCTGCCATGAGGAGCAGTCCTGACTGGCTCCAAATACTCAGCTTGGGAATGGAGGGCAGGTGAGGCTCTTCTCAGGAGGTAATGTCACTTCTCGCCTCGGGAGCTGATTTCTCGTTGACTTTGTTTATGCAGGAGGTTCATGATCTGCTGAGCGACTATGAACTGAAGTACTGCTTTGTGGACAAATACAAAGGGACTGGTGAGTAAGCTTCTGTTGCAGAGAGCAAGTCTCTCCCGAAGGGGACCTTCTATTTCAATGTTGACTCTTCTCAGATTGAGGCTAATCTATGCCAGGACGCACCACAGGGTGCTGTGTCCGAGTGCTAATCTGCCTCAGTGAGCACAGCTTGCCATGTTGTTCTCTGGCCGTGCTGGGACTGTTCTTTGGGTCGGTCTTCCTTCAGTTGTGCACATTGGATCCTATTAGCGAGGGGGCTAACGTCATCTGTCGGGAAACTTGGGCTGTGGGGCTTACAGCCCCAGCAGACGTCGTGCATGCAACATGGGGTTGCATTGCTTTATGGAACCCATAGGACTGCTTCTCCTGTGCAGTGCTGACCTGAGGGATTTTCAGTCAAGCTAGCCCCTGACTCTCCTTGCAGACTCGTCAAGGCAGCACTTTGCAGCTGCTCTGCCTCTCTGACACTCGTACAATCTGTGCAGCTAAAGGTTCCCGTGGACAGAAAAGCCTTGTGGGGTTGCTGTTAGGCTGGGCCATTCACCCCAGGCCGTTCACCATCCGTCTGAGTGTCAAGGTGGAGGTTGGGATGCGAATGGCTTGAGCCTCTCACTGCCATTATGTATTGGGCATTGCTAGCAATCACTGGATGCTCCCAGTCTCCTCCCTGTTGGGCCATTAGCCCATGGAGTTAGGACATGGTGTGCGAGCGTCTGTTAATATTGTTTACAATGTTCCAGTGCTTAGACCAAGACTTCTGCCTTGTCCTGAAGGCTGATAGAAAGCATGAGTGCATGATACAGCACACGCTGTTAGCTGACAGTCTAAGTGACTGCCTCGTGGGGAGTTGAGCCCTTTCTAGTAATCTCGAGCCGCTAAGACTGTGTGTGGCTTTGGAGTGTGGGTACGGACAATGGTGTGTGACTCCGGAGTTGGTGTGGGAATGGCACTGAAGGTGTGATGCGCTAGCCAGGTGCTTGCTGCTGGGTTGCAGGGTTTCTTGTCATAACATCTCTGTTTGCAGCGTTTGTCACCTTGCTGAATGGGGAACAGGCCGAGTCGGCCATCCAGAAATTCCACCTGAGCAAGCTGCGGGACAAGGAGATCTCTGTGCAGCTGCAGCCCACCGATGCCCTCCTGTGCATTGCCAACCTCCCCCAGCTCTACACGCAACAGCAGTTTGAGGAGCTGGTTCGGCCTTTTGGAAACCTGGAGCGCTGCTTCTTGGTGTACAGTGAGAAGACGGGCCACTCCAAAGGCTACGGTTTTGTCGAGTACATGAAAAAGGACTCAGCAGCCAGAGCAAAATCCGAGCTGCTGGGCAAGCAGCTGGGGACGCGGACTCTGTATGTTCACTGGACCGATGTCAACCAGCTGACCGTAGACCTGGTTCATTCCAAGTGCTTGTGTGTGGGCAAATTACCCCATAACTACAGTGACCTGGAGGAGCTGAGGCAGGTCTTCTCAGCCGTTTCTGCCCCGACCTTCTGCCAGGTGAGGAGCTCAGCCCAGGGGTGGGTTCCTTTGTGTTCCTGATGCTGTGTCTGTATGGTGGTGTCGAGACCTGGCCCCGTACAGCACGTAGGATGCGCTGAGGCCTAGTCTGCACTAGAAAAGCCTCTTGGTATAGACCCAGCTTATGCCGGCAAGAGAGCGTTTGCTGGTTCCCTGAAAGAAGTCAGCTAGACCGGCCAAAGCCCCTTTTCTGGTATAACTGCGTCTGCGCTAGGGCTTTTGCTGGAATAAAAAAAGCCATAAAACAATCCCACCCCAGTGGCCATTAGTTGGGGTTGGTCCTGCTTTGAGCAGGGGGTTGGACTAGAGACCTCCCGCGGTCCCTTCACACCCTGAGATTCAATGTTTCTATGATTAGTGAGCCAGCCAGATCTTCTCAGTGCAGACCTGGCCTAGATGGAAGACACGGTCTGTACCCCGAACGCCTTAGTGCTGCCTTTGAAAGGCTCCCCCCAGGCTGGCGGGGCCAGTGTCAGTGGGAGAGGTTGGCTCTCGCCCTGGGGCGGTTCCTGGCTGGGTAAGCTCGCCAAGGTTAATGAAGGCAGTGAGGTTGGGGGTTCCCTCCCTAGCTAGGATCTTTATGTAAAGGTTCAGGCCCTTGCCTTTCACTAGGAGAACAAGTGTACATTTGCCTGTCTGGGTAAGTCCTGAAAGTGACCTGTGGGGTGTCCCACTGGGAAGTGCCATCTGGCTCCCTGATACCAGTGTGGAAATGACTTGTCCTTGTGCCATCAGGCTAGTGTCTGTTCAGTCCTCTAGAATGTACCTGCTCCCACGTGCTGGGACGCGCCCATCCGGCTCACGGCCTCTAGCTTTCCTTCGAAGAAAGGGAGGGGAAATGATCCGAGGCTCCCTGCATTAAGGAACAAAAAGATCGTGAAGCTAAATGCTTTGCAGTTAAACCAGTCTGGCGAAGCATGGCTCTGTGAGGCAGGCATGGCCTTTAAAGCAGGGGTTTCCAAAGCAGTTGGGTACCCAAATCCCTTTGAAAATCCCACCCGAAACCATGGAGTGCCTGGATGAGGTGGCACCCTCCCCTGCTCAGACCAGGGCTTTGAGCTCCATTCGAGCCCATCGTAAGGTCCCAATGCCCAGGCCCGAGATCCAGGCGCGTTACGTTTCCAGTGGTGTGGATGTGGATTGGAAAAATTTGCAGCCTGAAGGGTCTGAAAGCCCCTGGCCCTGTCAGCCCCGGCCAGCACACGGCACCTCTGGCCTTCCTGCGCTAGCAGCCAGCGTCCTGTCCCTATTGTGCTAAGCCTCCTTTTCATTGCCTTGTTTTTGTGTAGCTGGCGTACGGTCAGGATGGCCAGCTGAAAGGCTTTGCAGTCCTGGAGTACGAATCAGCAGAGACAGCAGAAATGGTCCAGCAGGCCACAGATGGCCTGTCCCTCGCTGGGAACCACATCCGCGTCTCCTTCTGTGCCCCAGGCCCCCCTGGGCGCAGCATGCTGGCCGCCCTGATAGCAGCACAGGCCACGGTAAGGCTCACTTATTCAACCCTGCTCAGGCAAACTGTGCCATTACCTCCCCCTTCCCCCGCAGTCTGTTCACAGCTCTGTCCGGAGACCCCAGGGGCTGCTCCTTGCACCTTTCCAAGGCCAGAGCTCCAGCCTAGAACAGGCTGTCTTAGTTCACACCACTGGCACGCTGCCTGTTCCAACAACTCCCTGCCCACAGCGCTTCCTTCTGTAGCCTGTAGCTGCTGCTTGTGGGCATCCAGTGTTCGTTACAAGGGGCAGTTTGTGTGCAAAGCCAGTGCAGATACTGCTAGCGCTCAGCTGGACTGAAGGAAACAGGACACGAATTAACTTACTGCTAAAGTGGGTGTTACTGTTCACAGCAGGAAAATCTAACACGGCAGTGTTGTCACCTCAGAAACCGACAGGCTGTTCTGTATGAAGAACCTTGATGCTCACGTTCCAGGCTCAGAGGGGACGAAGCATCCGCCCTGTCTCTCTGCACCTGAGACGTGGACTGTAAAATGTACCGAGCTCTGGAATTTCAGTTCCTTTCTAGCAAGCAGAATGTCCCACCTTCCTTGCGGGCCAGCGTCCTGCAACTTCCATGTTCTAAATACTCACTTCCTATGCAAGTTAAGATACTAAAAGACCCGTGAGGTTTTGCAGAGAGGGGAGGCTGGGTAGTGAAAACTGTTAGCTCCATGTGATCCAGTTAGGTCACAATCATTACTAGCCCAATTTCTTCCTCAATCTGAAGCCCGGATCCAGCTCTCAAAAAGAGCAGCGTATAATTGCTTTACAACTCCAGCACTGAACTATTCCATCACAAACACCAACCTGACATCCCTGGCCACTCCCGTACTGCAGGGTTTCTGTCTGCGCTGGGAATGTTGGTGACCTGGCTTCATGCTGGGGTTAACAACCCTCTTCCGGTGCTCGCCCAAACTCCTGCTGAATGCACAGCTTGAGCTCCCATTGTCAAGTGCAACTGTGTAATTCAGACTACTCTTAGCTTCCGCTGAAGTTCTTCCCCCCCTCCCCTCCGGGCTCCTTCAAATCACGTTCCAGAACAAATGTCAAACCCTCTTGAGCCAGGTTGACAAAAGTATTTAGGCTCCTGGAGCTGCAGGGAGGGCCTGGGTGATGGTGATGGGGTTTTGCCAGGCGAGGCACCTGATTTCCAGTGGAAAGTCAATGGGATCAGGTGTGTAACTCATACAGGTGCCGAATGGGATTACAATACGCCTATCTGCATCTTTAGGTGCCTAAATACCTGTGTGCGTCTGGCACTGTGTGTACAGCCCTTGGCACAACCCTGCCTGGGGTCTCTGGATGCTGCCATAATGAAATAGAGAGATTCAGACTCTGACATCCGCAACATTTTTTTAAGGCGCTTAATCGTGGGAAAGGGCTCCTTCCAGAGCCAAATATCCTTCAGATTCTTAACAGCCTGGGGAACCCCGCTTCGATCCAGCTCTTACTCAACCCCCTACTTCACGGAGCCGTTGGTGGAAAACAGGGTAAGAATGAGTAACGGGCTTTCTTACGTGGTGCTACAGCCCTGGTGTAGCTGTTGTAGGGAACAGGGCCCATGGGGTACTGTGAGTGCTGCCCAAAGCTCCCCAGACAGCTAGATTCCCTCTGTGCTGACTCTTCTCTAACAGCGGGAGCAGGTGGAGGTCACAGTCGCTCTTGAGCTGGATGACTACGCTACTCTTTCATAAGAAGGAAAGCGACCGACCGTGGCTGGGAGCAGAGAACGGGCTCGAGGCTGAGCCTGTTCAGCTAGTCCGTAGCAAGCCCAGGCTTGTAACCCTCTATGGGGCTCCAGAGAGGCTGGCCAGCAGCCAGCCACAGAGCCCAGCATTCTCCTATTGAGCTCAGTGCACTGCGTAGGAGCCCAGGGGTTTGACACTTCTAGGCTTGTTCCCGTTTCGTCCGGGGCCTGCTCGAATTCTCAGCTCTGCTGGCAGCGCTGCCACGGCGCACACATGACTCCCTGTTTGTATTTGCATGGTGCTAGCCCGGGATCTCGCGTCACTTGGGGGAGCCATGCAGAGCAAGGCAGAGGCTGGGAACAAGGCATTCTGACCCGCTGTGGCCAATGCCGTGTTGCTAGAGGGCCTGTGCCGCCATCCTCCATGCGAGAGTTGGCCCTGTCCGTGTCTTGGCAGCCAGTACCAAAACGGTCTTATCCTTTTTCTTCACAGGAATCCTGGGGGCCCCCCCGTCCATGCCACTCATGACCAACCCAGCCCTCTCCGCAGCTCTTCTTCAGCTAGCTCTGCAGAACCAAACGCAAGCACAGCAGGTACTCGCACAAGACACTCCTGGAAGTCTGCTTCAGACTTAAGAATTTCCTGTGCTTGTCTCTGTATTTATATTGCTCCCGTCACTCGAGCAATTGAGCACCCCAAGAACACTAGCAAATCTATCCTCACGGCACCCCTAGGAGGTGGGAGGTTGGGGAACCCAGGCACAAATTGTCTTCCGTGAGTCTGCTGCAGCCAGGAGTAGAACCAAGCTCTTCTGCGGCTGAGCAGTGCTTTAACCATGGGGCTGTCCCTCCTTTCTAGCTACTCCCCGCTTCCGGGGGGGGGGGGGGAGAGCCCCCCCGCCCCCCCCCCCCCCCCCCCCGCCCCAGTTATAAACAGGACCTTCTGTGAAGGTAGAAGCTGAATAACAGCCAGACTTTCAGAAGTGGCCACTGAATCCAACTGGTTAAAAGACAGGGAACAAAAGGTAGGAATAAATGGTACATTTTCAGGATGGAGAGGGGTAATTAGTGGTGTTCCCCAAGGGTCAGTCCTCGGACCGATCCTATTCAACTTATTCATAAATGATCTGGAGAAAGGGGTAAACAGCGAGGTGGCAAAGTTTGCGGACGATACTAAACTGCTCAAGATAGTTAAGACCAAAGCAGACTGTGAAGAACTTCAAAAAGATCTCACAAAACTAAGTGATTGGGCAACAAAATGGCAAATGAAATTTAACGTGGATAAATGTAAAGTAATGCACATTGGAAAAAATAACCCCAACTATACATACAATATGATGGGGGCTAATTTAGCTACCACTAATCAGGAAAGAGATCTTGGAGTCATCGTGGGTAGTTCTCTGAAGACGTCCACGCAGTGTGCAGCGGCAGTCAAAAAAGCAAACAGGATGTTAGGAATCATTCAAAAAGGGATAGAGAATAAGACGGAGAATATCTTATTGCCCTTATATAAATTCATGGTACGCCCACATCTTGAATACTGCGTACAGATGTGGTGGTCTCATCTCAAAAAAGAGATACTGGCACTAGAAAAGGTTCAGAAAAGGGGAACTAAAACGATTAGGGGTTTGGAACAGGTCCCATATGAGGAGAGATTAAAGAGGCTAGGACTTTTCAGCTTGGAAAAGAAGAGACTAAGGGAGGATATGATAGAGATCTATAAAATCATGAGTGATGTGGAGAAAGTGAATAAGGAAAAGTTATTGTATTTGTTCCCATAATACAAGAACTAGGGGCCACCAAATGAAATTAATGGGCAGCAGGTTTAAAACAAATACAAGGAAGTTCTTCTTCACACAGCGCACAGTCAACCTGTGGAACTCCTTGCCTGAGGAGGTTGTGAAGTCTAGGACTATAACAGGGTTTAAAAGAGAACTGGATAAATTCATGCAGGTTAAGTCCGTTAATGGCTATTAGCCAGGGTGGGTAAGGAATGGTGTCCCTAGCCTCTATTTACCAGAAGCTGGGAATGGGCGACAGGGGATGGATCACTTGATGATTCCCTGTTCTGTTCACTCCCTCTGGGGCACCTGGCATTGGCCACTGTCGGTAGACAGGATACTGGGCTGGATGGACCTTTGGTCTGACCCAGTGTGGCCGTTCTTATGTTGTGTGCCCAGTTTGAGATGCCCCGGGCCTGACTCTTCCCATAACTTTGGTCAGGTACACAAATCTCTCACACACGTGTGCACCCGCACACAGACACACTGAGTGACCCTCCGAAAACGTTGGCCTTGAGCCCTTGCCCACCAAACCTACAGCTGGAGAACTGAATCCAAACTCTTTGCCATCTCTGTCAGTGGCGCCCTGCACTGCCCCCTTACGCTTTCCTGTCTGTTTGCCTCGCTCTCTTTCACCCTCCTGAACTGGTTTTGCTCCTAATGGCGTTCCCCACCTCCCCAGAGCGGCTGTTGTCAATCTGAGCATTTGGAGGCTGGCTCAATGCTGACTCTAGCTGTTCTTAGCTAACATCTGCTCCTTTAGCCTCCCTGGTTCATGAAGTGATCTGTCTTTCTGGTCTGTCTGTCTTTGCTTTGCTCTCTGCCCCAGAAGGCATTGCTTGGGAGCTCCCTGTTACTGCAGAACCAGGTCTGGGCACAGCTGCTGCAGAACAAGGAGAACCAGGCCGTACTCCACGTGAGTGGTAGAAGGCTTCCTCTGTGTGTGTGTGTGTGTGTGTGTGTGTGGTGTGGAGACACAGCGCCAGATGCACCCTCAGGCCTGGTCCGAATTCCACTCGTGCGCTGCCCTTAGGGCTGGGTGGTGACACACGGAGCAAGGAGCGGTGTGTACGCTGCACTGTCCTGGGGGGCAGACACCCCCCACCTGTCACCTCCTTACTGCTGGTCTAGGGTTTGACCCTGCTGCCATGGAAGTCAATGGCTGCCTTGCCACTGCACTGCCACAGGAGCAGGATCCAGGCTGTACCAGCAGTGGATTGCTTCAGCCCTGCCTGTGGCTTTAGGGGGTAGTAAGGTCTCCAGCCATCCCCTCCCTCCCTGGATCCAGGGGCCTGTGTAGGGCTGTAAGGGGGTTCTGGGGTGGGCATGTCGCAGGTCATCTCTTTGGGCTTGGTAGTACCCGTCTGAGCGGAGCCCCTCTCTGCCTCATTGGTAAGGCTCAGTTAACTGGGTTTCAGGCAGATGTGCTGCTACCTAAGCAGAGCTTCTGCCGGTGGAAGAGCGTGTGCCAACCAGGCCCGTGACTGCATTCAGCTGCGGCACCGTGAGTTCCGTGTTGTGGAATAAGTGGCACAAGCGGGTCCTGTGGCTGGCGGGTTTGGGCCTCTCAGCGCTGGTTCTGTTGGCCAGTGTTAACGTCTCTGTTTGTTAGTGACACAGGCCTCGGGGCGAGCTGAGCTGGCCCCTTGGTTCTAGTGAAGCAAGCGGTCTGGACAGAGGGGAGGGCGCTGCATGGGAGTAGCCTGGTTTCTATTTTCAGTGGCTTGTCTGTTTAAAGAGCCATGAAATTGCTGCAGCCCGTCTCCCTGGCGGCCCCTCCAGGGAGAGCTTTGAGATGCAAATAGTGCTGTGGAAAGACAAGCAGCGGCTGTGGTGTGCCCCTCTCCGGGGGAAAAGAGATCCAGCGAGTGCTTGCACTGAGCTTACACTAACAAGTTGTGCTGTGTTTAGATCACTCCAGGGCCAGCTGAGCTTCCAGCCCATTCCCTTGGGAAGCGCTAGCTAGAACTGCTCTCTGCAGCAGCACGTTGGGTCCCTGAGCATGCAAAGATTGCCAGATCTTCTGTCCTCTCTTCCGTTCCTGGGAAGCTCCAACTTCCCCTCCCATCTGTAAATGTGCAAAGCCTCCTGTGTCCGACCCCTGCTTATCTGGGAGGGGTGCGCTTGGAGTGCGATCGCAGCACCTCCTTAGCACAAGGTCACCCGGCTGCAACCGGACATCGGGTATTTGGCCCGGCCTCCCCACCTGCTGCTCTTCTGGAATGGCCACCTCTACTGGTGAGGGTGACGGGCCAACGTCCTGCCCATGATCGCGTAGGGACCAGATTATTTCAGGGCACATCCAGGGGCTTTTCTGGCTGAACCGATAGCGGGTGGCAAGCTGAGGTGTAACTGCAGGGCACTACCTGTCCGTGTGGACCCTGGTACAGCGCGCTTGGGTCGACTCGGTTTGGAAACGGCCGGCCCAAGGGCTCTAGGGCAGCGGCTCTCAACCTTTCCAGATGACCGTCCCCCTTTCAGGAGTCTGTCTTGCGTACCCCCCAAGTTTCACCTCACTACTGGCTTACAAAATCAGACCTACAAATACCAGTGTGGCAGCCCACTGTGACTGAAAAATGGCTGACTTCCTCGTTTTTACCATGTAATTCTCAAATCAATCAATTGGAAGAAGTGTTGTATTTACCTCTCAGTGCATAGCACATAGAGCAGTAGAAACAAGTCACTGTATGAAATTTTAGTGTGTACTCACTTGGCCAGTGCTTTTTATGTAGCTTGCTGTAGAACTAGGCAAATCTCTAGATGTATTGATGTACCCCCTGGAAGACCCCTGCGTGCCCCAGGGGTACATGTGCTCCTGGTTGAGAACCGCTGCTCCAGGGAACTCTTCGTGTGCACGTGGCTAGTGAGCGCGTGGCAGGCTAGTACGCTGCAGGTTCTGCCCCTGCATGAACTGCTCATGCAGGGCCCAGAGCACCGTAGGCGCCGATTTGCTTGGGTTGGCTTCTTGCAATGCTCTCACCATTTGGCTGCACCGCTGGCATTTCATACTAACCGCGTTTCCCGCTGTGCCTTCTGCTTGGCCTTTAACCTGCCTCTTGTTTGCAGAAACCCGGGATCTTGGGGGACTCTCCTCTCAGTTCTCTACAGCACGGCACCTTGGGGTTGGCGACCGCCCCGGCTCAGCCCGGAAGCTCACTGCTGGGAGAACTCGCCTCAGGTAACGCTGTGGGTTTGTGGCACGAGCCGATTGCTCAGGAGTCGTGATTCCTGCAGCATGTGCTGGATGCTAGGCAGAGCTGCAGCCGCTCGCGTGAGTGCAGCTTCGGTTCTCTGTGCAGTGCCGCATCCCAGACGCTGGGGTTTGCGGTTCCTGCCACCCTGGGCGCTGCCCGTTCACCGTGCCGCCTCGCGCATGGAGAAGTAGCTGCCATGCACGTCACTGGAGATTGCTGTGCTGGCATTGACTCGGGGGGTCTAAAGCATGGGCGTGTTGGTCTGTAGATAACCCTGGAGGAGGGCAGAGCCCTTTAGGAAGCCCTGGGGCGTGTTAAGATTTATCGGGTGTTGGTCAGAGCCCTGTGCCCTCTCTGGAGTAGAAGCCGTTGGTGTGGCCCTGCAGAGGAGGCTGCCCAACCCTAGCAGCAGGTGTCTGGGCGCTGAGCTAGCTGTTCTCCGGCTCAGATGCGGGCGTGTGTGGGCGAAGGGGAGGGTGGAAGAGGTTGCTGAGTGACGGTCTGTAAAGCGGTGGCATCTCCTCTCCCCAGGGGGGCCTCTGCCTGCTGACATGACACAGGGGCACGTGAAGTCACCGATCCTGCCTTCGGGGGGCATGCCCCTGGCATCCTTCCTGGGACCAGTGGGGACAGATAGAGAGAACTCGGCAATGGGGCCGCAGGTGTCCCAGCTGACCCCATCTCCTGGGACCCCATCAACCCTACCGGGCCTCACCACCTCCATCCTGGGATCGGTGATCAGTGGACTTCAGAAACCAAAGCAGATGGAGAACGGGGTAAGAAGAGCAGCTGTGTTCAAAGTCCTCCTAGAACAAGCACTTCCCACATGCCGCCTGCTCCCCAGTCTGTTCGGTGCATCCTTAAGTCTGTAACACTTCCAGCCTCTTGTCCCCGGCAAAGCAACGTAGCGGTCGGCAGGAGTCTGAACGGCCTGTGCGTTTTCCTGTCCTCCTGACGCTCCTCCAAGCGGCCTGCCTCGGGGCATACTGTCCAGCCGCACTAATCCCCGGGACTCCTTCTCTCCTAGGTCTCGCTGCTGGGAGAGCCGCCCAAAGACTTCAAGATTCCTCTCAACCCTTATTTAAACCTGCACAGCCTTCTTCCTGCAAATAGCCTGGGAGGTGAGCTGGCGGGGGCTGCCCCTTTAAACTGGCAGTAGGAAAAGCATGGGTGTTGTGCAGCATGGCTCTTCAATGAAGTGTGCCCTGAAAGGGGCGGACAGGGCTAGAACTGAACCTGAGCCGGGACCAGAGCAGGGCTGCAGACTAGACCACGTCTCTGCCTGCAAACCTGGGGGGGTAGAGCTAGACTCCTGCTGCTTCAGCTCAGTGCCTGTTTGCACATGGGAGAGGGATTGTCACTCAAGCGGTGACGTTAGGAGTCTGCCAACGTGCATCTCCAGTGCTACCACCAGGCCAGCCTGGGACCTAGCACTTGGCTTGTTCAGGCAGAGGCCGGCCGGTCGGGAGACTCCGTTTGAATGGGGGTGGGGGCAGACGTCGCCTGTTGACCTCCTGCCACGGGGTCGCGGGTCCCCACTTGAGAAGCGAAGTCACTTGCCCAGGGGCAGTTGGTGTCAGAGCCAAGAGCAGGAGCAGCCGTTAGTCCACCGTGCTGCCTTGACTCGGGTAGGGCAGAGATCCTGCGGTGTTCGAGCTTAGGGGTTAAACTCCGTGGATGGCCGGCCAGAGGGACAAATGACTTCAGTTTTGCCTTGTGCGCGTTACTGAAGCGAGGTCAGGCTCCGTCTCCAGCGCACTGCTAATGCCCCACGGGGCGACGGTACTGTCTGGGACTGTCCCTCTAGCAGGCATGGGGCGTCCGGGGGAAGGGAATCCCGAGGGCTGCGAGTTTCCAAGGAGAGCTGCCTCTCCCTGGGGGCAAAGGGCTGGGCCAAACAGTGCAGCTGCGTAATGGGACAGCCTGCAGTAATTTCCCTTGAAAGGGAGCCAGAGTAGCTGGGCCCTTGGCTATCTGCCCTGGTGCTAATGAGTAACGCTCTTCTGCAGGTGGTGCCAATAAAGCATTTAATCTGAAGGCGGGAGTGCTGGGTAATGTTTCCAATCCCAGAATCCCACAGCCCGCCATGGCCGACCCATCGCTGCCCTCTCCCGGGCTGGCAGGAGACAACTATGCTTTTGACTATCAGCCGGTAAGTACCTTGGGGCAGGACAGAGCATTAGCCCCGACTTCAGCTGGGACGAGTAGAGTCCTCCGGGTATTAAAGCAGCAGAGCAGGGAACAGAACCCAGGCGTCCTGCCTGCTCTTCTCCCTGTTTTCTCCCTCCCTGGTCAGGCACACCCTTGACCCACCTGATCTTGTGTTCTGGCCTCTGGAAATGCCTATGTAAGAGCCTTGTTTGCTCTTTTCTTTCTCCTGGAAGGACTTGGGATCCCGAATGTACGCCCAGTCGAGGGACCACGCTGGGCCCATCCTGGGCGGATTTGGACACAGCAGGCACAAGGTAACTTCTGCTGGTGTTCAGCTAGGAGCTGAGCCATGGGGCTGTTCGGAGTGCAACCGGCTGGGTTCTGAACCTCCCTCTTTCTAGGCTACAATGCACTGGACCGGCAGCTCTGTGAGACTCGGCTCTCCCCAGCCCCTCGCGTGCTCCTTCAGTCTCTGCCTTCCCAGTTCTCCCATTCTTCACCCCTGCAGCTTCTGGGGTTAACGGCTTCTATCTGGGGGTGTGGCCTGCAGCTGTTGGGGCTCCCTGGTTGGCTGGTTTAGGGGTGTGGGAGGAGCCTGCCTGGGTCACTAGAAGTGGCATGCATCGGGTTATGTGGAGTTCTGCCCTGCGTGTGCCCTGCAGCTCTGTACAGCTTTCTGGCTGCTTCTCCCAGCACCATTGCCCAGCTGATGGTTACCACCTCTGCCACAGAGGCACCAGGCAGTTGCCTGTCCCGTGTGTCCATGGCTGCTCATGAGGGTATCGATAACAAGGGCCTGATTTGTGGATCTCCTCGGGGCAAGCTGTCAAGTGCAGAAACCATTCCCAGGCTGGCCAGAAAGTCGGTCATGTGTCTGCTTGCTGCTCAGAGAACAGCTGTCAGCCTTGCCCAGAGCAGGATGTCGCGGGGGGGGCTGTTAGGTCGTGTTGGCCAGTGTCTTCCAGCCAACACGCTGGAAAGTCCAGTGCAGACGGGACATACCATCTCTGTAGTGGGGTCTAGTTGGAGCCGTGGGGAGGTACCTGCTGCCTTGTCTACATTCGATTTCCAGTGTGTTAGAGCACACTAGCCAATCCCTAGCCTCACACCTTTCTATACTCAGCTAGCCCAGGCCTTCGGGCTCCACGGTGGCATGTTCTTGCTTTTCCACGAGTCCTGTGGGCTTGCTTCAAGCGGGATCCTGCCCTGAGCAAGAGGGGGTATTGTGTCCTTTGCGCCAAAGAGAATTTGGTTTCATTGGGTACGTCTACACTGCAATAAAACCCGTGGCACTGAGTCTGAGTCCGGGTCAATTGACTCAGGCTGCGGGGTGAAAATTGCGGTGTTGACATTTGGGCTGGGGCCCTGGCTCTGAGACCCTCCCCCCAGCGGGGTTTCAGATCCCCAGCCCAAACGTCTACGCTAGTTTTCAGTCCTGTAGCCCAAAGCCAAGTCAGTTAACCCAGGCCTGCGGTGGGTCTTGGACCGCACTGTAGACACACCCGTTGATCTATTTCCACGCTGCAGAGCACGGAGGCACAGCCTGCAGTTCTGCCTCCGGGGGGCTGAACCGAGCCTCGATCCAGCTTGTGATCCGGAGCCGCTTTTCTTCCAGATGTCTTCATCTCCTGGATTTGAGCGGAGCAGCTTGGGGCCACCCCTGCCGCCCTTCTACTCAGGATCCCCAACCTCCTACTTCACCAGTGGCCTTCAAGCTGGGCTTAAACAAAGCCACCTGAACAAAGTGAGACGTCGCTTCTGCGTGTGCCGGGAAGGGAGTGTCTGGGCTCTCGGCTGCTAAGGGAGCAGACGGGTGTGCGTCAGCTCGCTCGCACCCGGGCTTCCGCTAGTTCGGAGACTCAAAGATCCAGCCAGGCGGCTTGGTGATTCCTGGCGGGGAGACCAACCCAGATCCCAACCTGCGGTGGCTCTGCACAGCCTGGGTTTTACAGTGGCTGTGGGGTCTTAGCTTTTAATGGAAAAGGCCAGGCCTTCGCCTTGCTCTGGCGCTGCCATGAAATGGGGCCTCCTGGCGGATGAGCAAGCCGGCCAGTTGTAAGCTCTCAAGGCAGAGGGGCGGCTCTGAGAGACGCGCTTACTCAGTGATGGCAGAGGTGGAGCGCGAAGGTGTGACCTGGAGGCTGGTACCTTCCCTCTGGGGTGAAGGTTCAGCCAGGAGTGATTAGAAATGGCCTGATATTTGAAGCCCGGCCCTTCCTGTAAGACTCACTGGGCCACCAGCTCTCCCTGGAGGAGAATGGGTACGTTCCCTGCTGTCTCGATGTTGCATTCAGTGCCATAAAATCTGCCACTAGGGTCGCACGCCAGGAGCCGCAGCTGCAGCCCCGTTCCCTAGCGGGAGGGGAGAGATGGTCAGATGTGTGCGCAGAATGCTAGTCCCCTCGAGGTGGGAATAGGTCTTTGCTGGGTCCCTTGAATGGCAGGCGGCTGTGTTGACAGTGGAACTGCAGGGTGCTTGTGGGCCCCATGCAGTGCTGGTAAACAGGGACATCAGTGGTGACTCCTCTCTTCCAGGCAGTAGGGATGCCACCTGTGGGCACCGGGGACAGTATCCTGGGCTTGGGACCAAACAGCCATTCCCACGGCTCCCACTCCAAGGTGAGTAGCTCTGGGGACGAGGGCAGAGCTTTGCTACCGACCTGCACACCACCACTCCCCCCTCCCCGGGTGCTTTGCCAGTCCCCTGACGCTCAACTTCCCACTGTCTTTTCCAGACTCCGATCGGGGGCCAGAAACGGGCCTTCTCCCACCTGCTGCCATCCCCAGAGCCCAGCCCGGAGGGCGGCTACGTCGGACAGCATTCTCAGGGCCTGGGAGGGCACTATGCAGACTCCTACCTGAAGCGGAAGAGGATATTTTAACCCCCTCCCTGCTGAAGCACTATCATCCCCTCCGCGTGTAAATCTTGTACAAACTTTTTTTTAACGTTAGTCTTGATTTTGAAGTTTTTACGTGTGTGAGAAAGACTTGGCTTCTCTGAGCGGGGTGGGAAGCCCCACAGGCTTCCTGCCGGAGGATGGGCCCTTCCAATTACTCCCCCCCGTTCCAGAACCAGCACCTGTCTGCGTCGCAGGCAGCCGGAGCAGAGGCAAGCACTCCGAAAACGTACCGTGCGGGGGGAGGACAAAGCTTACCCCCGTGGCCCCTGTCGCTGCTGCTCTCGGTGCCTCTCTGTGGGGCGGAACCTGCTGGAGTCGTGCTGTATTCTGATTGCAGTAACTGGGAACCTACAAACAATCCTGAGAGGACAGTAAGTCCGAGGGAGATGCATGTTCCCTGCCTTAAACTGCTGCTTCAGAGAGAGGAATGTAACTGACTCCAGCAGGTGCCCTCTGCTCACCGTAACGTGAGCCTGGATGTTCTGGTAGCGCAGAGGTGGCGATCTAGGGGGTAGCGATTCGGATGCTCGTACAGCGTTCTTGTTACGCCGTGGGACTCCAGATCTGCCTGGTTCCTGGCCCCACCCTGCTCAAAGCCTTCAGAGCTGCATCTGGGATGCAGCGCTCCCTAGAGGCTCACGCTGAGCTCCAGGTCTCGGGCCCCGCCTGCCTCTCCAAATTCCTGTTCTGTTTTGTTTTTTTAAACCTTCAGATGCTGACGTTTTACACTTTTGTTTGGTGATGAGATTTGTAAGTTGCCTTTTTAATTCATGCTTTGGTTTTTATTTCCTTTTTTAACTAGCTAGGAGCAGGAATCTTGGTCCATTGTAAGGTCGCTGAGCCTGGTCATTCCTCTCTTTAGTTTCTCCCTCCTGGGCATGAACTTTTGTTCTAGAAGTTTCTTTTGGGGTGGGGGGAGTCGAACATTTTCCTTGATTTCTATTTTGCTGAGTCTTGCAGTAGGAGCCAGCTGCAGCGCGGCAAACAGACCTGCTTTCCCGGCAGCCTCCGGACACGGCTTCCCAGGAAGCCGATCTGCCTCCCCCTCCTGGTGACCAAGCTTGGAGGGCGGTTGTGGTTTCGTGATGTCCGACACGAGGCCGCCCTTGTGTTTGGTGTGGAACTAGACGTTCAGCCATTTGCACCCTCTCTCCAGCTGCATTTTTAATACAGCATTAAATGCAGCTGAGCCAATGTAGTAGGATGCTGGCAGCTTTGGGGATCAAGCCCTTAACGGTGTGTGCTGCTGGGAACTGGATGGTTTAATGCCCAGGTACCGAGCCGCTAGCCAGCTGAGAGTCGAGCGGGCTGCAGAGTTGCCAAGCAAGCCGGTGTCCAGTGATTGACAACGGTGCCTGCTCGCCTCCATTGATAAGCTGCTTTCTCTGGGGGGGGATTTGCAGGTCTGTTTGTATAGAGACTCCCCACCCTCTCTTGATTTGGGGTTTATAAAGTTGCTACCATGTTTCTACTGTAGATGCTGTCTGGCTTGCTGTATTTGTGGGGCTTCCAAGCCCTCAAGAGCTGGACATTGACTTTCCAAAGTAAAGAGAGATTTATATCAAGCCTTGTCCCCTTTCGATACTTGCTGTAAAAATGTGTCATTTTCTGAACACTTGCACCTCCCTTGGAGCTGCACCGCACCCAGGAGCCACTGGCCAGAGGCTGGTCTGGGAGCCAGGCAGACTGTCCCCAGGGAGACTTCACTGAGCTAACAGTCCTGGTGATTCACGAGCCCCATCACTCCAATACTGCACCCTACAACCTCCCAGCAGCTTTCAGCATCCAGACACCCCCCTTTGCTACACTGATCTGCATCCCCTCTTGCTTTTACCTGAAGGCCTGGGCTAAGTCATAGATCATGTCCAGCGAGCTCTATAGTGGTAACTGCAGCTGTGTTGGGCTTCTGTCAGACCCAGTTCCCTTCCTGCCACTCGGCTCCAAGTGCAGCCGCTGAGCCTGGCTTTCACATCTCTGCCTGCCTTGATTGTTTCCCATCTCTGCCCTTTTCTGGTCATTGCTTGCGGCTGTAGGATGTGGGTAGCAGCTCTTGTGCTCTGGCCTGAGTCAGGGTTCAGCTGGGAACACAGCTCCATGCAAGTGTTTTGTTTGCTGAATTGAGAATTTTTAAGGGAAGAAAAAAATTTGTAATGAGCTCCCTGGGCCTGACTTTATCCTTATTAATGTTTCGTAGGGTGGGACATAGGCCCCGACAAGCGCTGGCTCCGGGGGCTAGTCACTGCTTGCACTCTACATCGACAGGCCCCGGGGGGAGGGCGGGAGAAAGGGTGTAACCCCCAAGTAGAGCAACCAAGGGGAGGTGGGGGTGGATTTAATTAGAAGGGGAGCAGTGACCCAAGAAGACAAGGTGAGGGTAGCAGACAGCAGGGGAGAAGAGGGAGGGAATGGGAGGAACTTCAGTGGATTCAATCAGCTACCCCCTGCCCTGTGAGTTCTTCAGGGACCCCAGCCCTAGGACTGCAGGGAAGTCTGTCCCTTGCAGCTTGCACATCCAGAGCCCCTGGGATGGCTGTGGTGGGACGTAGCAGCAAGATCCATCTCAACGTAACTGCTGCAGGCTGAGGCGGCTTGTGCCTGCTCCCAGCTAATGGAGACACCTGGCTGAGAAGGGTCCGACCGCTGGTTACGTGGCTGCTGTCCGCGCATTTCCACTGAGCTCATCTCCACTCTGCGCTACTCAGCAGGCACAGGGCAAGTGCAGCTTCGGCCTAGGCCATGGTGACATCCTCACACAGGACAGCAAAATGTCAGTGTAATGAATGCAACACAGACTAGAACCTGTGCAAACTGCAGTACTAAAGGGGGGGGGGGCAGCGTGAGGGCCCTGAGCCCATCTCCCGCTTCCCAGCTGAGTTCCCTGCTCTGCTGCAGCCTCTTGGGCCTGGGTCCCCGGCTGTCACCGTCCCAGCTCTTAGCAGCTGTGTTTCGGGGGCAGATCTCAACGCGCTTTACGCAGCAGGTTGGTAACGTTCAGCTTCCGCCTCTGGAAACGGGGGTAGAGCAGGGACGTGCTGTGCCTAAGGTCAGGCACCGAGCCCTGCAGCTAGAACCCAGCGCTGCTGCGTCCCAGGCTCGGGCGGGATCCGCTGTGGCTGCTGGCCCAGGCGACCGATAGACCAAAGCCTGTCAGGCGCTCAGCTCCTGTGGTGCT